CTAACACTAATAAAATTAGTTTCATGTTCAGATATACTAGAAGATATCAGAGGAGAAGTTTCTGTCAGTGAGTTAACACCTGCATAGCTTTGAAATTAATTGTTTAGTATGCTCATTACTCTTAGAAAAAATAAATATGTTCTTATTACATTCACTTGGTGAACCTATGTATCTTGCAATACACTTAATGTTACTTGCTGTGAGGGAGATTACAACTCTTTTTAAGCAAATTGGGTAGATTAATGGGATGGAGTGGGTTAAATTGCTCTCCACGTGCATTCCCTAGCGTGCCTAACCTACTCCTGAATTTTAGTTGGTATATAGAGAAGAGTTTAGCTGAGGTTATGCTCTGTGAAGCAACTGGGGTAAAATAGGATATAACCTGTGTGTTGCAGGGGCTGGGCTAGGTAAATGTGCTGTATGCTAGAACAAAGCAAATAATACATGGGATCATGTTTTGTGCCCATAACCATAGTCTGCATGTGAACAGTTGCATTTTCAGCGGCTTCATTGTGGCTGTGTGTGTATTGATCTGTGGTGAACTTCAGCAAGAGTTTTGGGGCTATTCAAAAGAAACTTCACCAATAAGCTAGAGAAAGTGGACAGAATCCATGAAAACAACAAATTGCTTTGTCTTATTAAGAAGCCTATACAGTTTTAATACTACAATGTGTGACAGAGCCTGAAGAGGGTTTTTCTAATCCTTATTCTGGTTTTGATTTACCAGTAACAAAGATGAGGATTACTAAGGACTGAATACTCCTGATGCAGCTCACTGATTTCATTATGAGTTCTTCCAAAAGTAACCTTAACTACTGAATTTTTACCAAATTTGCTGTTTCAAATGAGAGATAAGGTCCATGTAACCAGGACACCTTGCTAAGGTTGTTACTTTGAGAGGGAGGAATAAAAAAGCTGAAGATTTCAAAGTTTAGTAATTTAAAGAAAATCTTTCAAAATTTGCAGTAATGTCATATATTTTACAAAGACAAGGCTAGACCAGCAGAATTTTTTTATGACTGCCTGATGATAGGTAGTCCCACCTATGATGTAAATTGTACTTTTTTTCTTAACACCATCCCCTCTGTGCCCCACACCCTGATTGGTGTTGTAGTGTTCCTAATAAGCATAGTGCTTCCATAACTTTATTTTGCTGAGTATGCGTTTAATTAAAAATCAGATTTAATTGCAATAGCTTCCTGTGATTTCAGCTAAAAGGTGCCTTTATGAGTTGGGAATAAGAGTGTGACACTTTTAATGAAATGAGATTTCTATACCAGAAATTTATGTTGGATCACTGCAGAGCATGTGCCAAACCTTTCTTGATTTACCTGAAAATGCTGTATTGGAAACAGGACTCCCAAATGCAGAATGTGTTCTATCCCAAATGACTGCCTTGAAATCACTTATTTTGGAGTCATATTAATTCAACTTCTTGATAAATTACTCACTGTAGTATAACATGCTGTTTTAAAGCTTTTACAGCCTTTTCATTAATACATGATAGTGAAGATTAGAGCTAGTATTTTTTGTGTAGACTTCTTAATCATAGCCTTTAAAGTAGAAGCTGAGCAATAAACATCTAATGAATAGCTTATGGCAAGTTTATTCTCAGAAGCTATGTTACTGTGTTGGCACAGATCAACATAACCATTTATCACTAAATTAACAGAATTTTAAAAACTGTAGCTATCATGCATGCTAGTCATTCTCAATGTACATTACATATCAGTACTATATAGCATTTTAGGATACTTGCAACCTACATCAATATATGTTAGTCATGATGAATATGTTCCCTTTTAGAAGAGGATGTCTTGGAGAATTAAACCACTCTTTAATATTTTTTAGCTCATAATAAGTTTCATCTTTTAAAAGGCATAAAAGAAATCATTGTCGTGGGTTAGTACTGAAGGAATTCCTTAAGGTAGTTGCATTTGAGGAAGTCATCTGCAGTATGTATTGAGTTGTGTTCAGTAAAAACAGGCCACTTGGCTTTCTTCCCAAAGAGAAGTCTTCAGATTAATCTGTGAAAATAATAAAAGAAAGTATAGTATTTTGATGGTGCCCATAATCATCAGCGTTGTGCAAAGCTGCAAACTTAACTCTACTATGCATGTTGTACAGCTGTGCCACATGTGTGTACTCAACATGGGCTGAATTTACTTCTGTGTACTGACTTATAGCCGTATTTCTTTCTCCATCAACCACAGTACGTAAATATATTTATACAAAAATACAGCAGTGTTCTATTCTGATTGCAGCCATTAATGATAATGGATTTATACCTACTTTATTTTTAATGAAATAAATGTGGCCATGTATGTAAAACAGTAAATATATAATTCATAAGTTCTCCATTATTATACAAATAGCATCTTAATGTGAAATCCAAAGTTCACTAGTGCTCTGAAAAGTGATGTGTTATGTACCCACATCCTCCACTGGGGAACTTGAGTCTTGTCCTTTCAACATCTGGAGAGATCAAACAACAGTTCATCTGGCAAGAATAGAGAATCTATGTAGCAGAATAAGCATGGGATTGGGACAAGCAAGATCACAGAAGCACAAATAATTCCACTTACCAATGAGCTCTTTCCCTGGTCAGATGGCCAGTGTGTCTGAGAGATTGGAGGTCTCAGGATTCCCTTCTTTGTGTCCATGGTGGTTTATTTTTTATTTAACTGGGTGTATACGTGAAGTGTTAGTTGCAACACTCTCTCTAGAACTTTCTTCTCAGCAATTTTCCACTTACTGTCTGACCTATCTGAATTTATTTGTTAAATTTACTAAATGTCTGACTAGCGATAAACTGCACCAAAACAACCAGGGAACTTAAATGAATAGGAAGAAAACACCCTCACTAATTTTCGTTTCTGACAGTTTAACAGACCTAGAAGCATTTACATTACTTTCCCATTTAGGCAGTTAACTTCTGAGCGGTTCTTGAACACCGGGGACCTCTAGCTAGAACAGCCACCTTGGCCAACAATCCAAGATTTAGACAGATAGTATATTATTATGGTAGTGGGAATATAAGCAGCTTTTATATTGTATATATGATTTAGTATGTTCTGTGCCAGTTTTATTTCAGATTTAATTCTGGGACATGCTGCGCTATGTAGTCCTTTTGGATTTCTGCAACTGTTGAGCTTGGAGCCATGCTTCTGCTACAGAATTCCAACAGGACCAAACATATGGGGATTCTTCCGTCCTTGGCTTGCCCCACCATTTGTTCCACATTTTAAACCAACTGGTGCTGTACCCAGTGGAGTACATCTGTTGCAGTTTATTACTAGAAATTTGCAATTCATTTCAGTTTGCTAAAATAATTATAATATTCATGGCCAAGAGTACTGCATTAAGCAATTACAAAAGAGAGTGGGCAAAATTTTGCTAAAGTATATGTCTGATTCAGGACCTACTGCCTGATTTGGGTGAGTTGGGCACTCAACAGCCTATCACCAGTGAGTCAGATGTGCTCTGACAGTTGAGTTTGATCATCTTGAGAAATTAAAGTAGCAACTGAGATGCTGTAACTGACATCCCTTATGTGAATGTCCCTGCTCTGTTTTAATTAAGAATGAAATAAATTAGCATAAACCACCACTGAATGTTTGGTTGTCGCATCTTGCCTGAGGTACTCAGCTGGGGAACACCCAGAAATGGAGCAGAGTCTTTACTGCTGGAATTGCAGGGGCGCGTTTGATTACACCCTGTAACTGTTCCTGAAAGTAACAGCGTGTAGGCTGACAAATAGTCTATACCTTTTTGAATGTTGTAACCCGCTTTTTTTGCCTCTTTGTGCTTCGGGCAGTCTGGTAGTTACTGTCTTGGGCTACGTTGTTATTTGCAGGTAGATTTTTCAGGGAGGTGAGATTTCTGTTTTGTGAGAAAAATAGATGCTGATCAGTCCAGAGTAAGCATTAAATAGTTGGTTAGAAAATGATCCCTTTCCATTTAAAAAAAAAAAAAGTCCCCATAAAGCAACATAATACAACAGTTTACTTTTTCATCATTATCATCCACTCAAGCAGACTTTTAAAATAAGGAAGCATGCTGATATAATATAACTCCATCATACTCATCATGTTCAGTCTCCATTTCTGTAAGTCAGTCTAGCACATCTTTGACATGTAGTAACAGAATAAGCACACCCTGTTCACCACAGTGGAGAAGTATAGTGCTAAAGTCAAGTTTTTTTAAAGGAAAACTTACAAAACCAATTGCAGGAGTTACAACCAACAATATGCCTGTTTTGGTTCTCTGTCACAGACCCGAGTCTGGATCTGTTGCTTGCATGCTGTTCACACTCACTCTTTGAAATGAATGAGGTCAGTTTTGCTACGGAAATCTGTCATTTGCCTGATTTGAAAAAGAGCTGAGGTTCCAAAAAGCTGATTTAATTTTTCGAGTTACACTAGTATAATGAAAGACATTAGAGACTTCGTTCTGCCTGTGTTGTCAGACCATCACTGTCACTTAAAAGTACAGCTATATTCCCAACATTTGTGTCCTTGCAAATAAAAGCATTGTAAGATAGAGGAAGTTAAATTATCAGCTCACTAGGTGTAGAAGCGGGTTCTTGTGAAGGGGAAGTTGGAATTTATACTGAAATGGTGAAACATCCAGAAATAGCCCAGATCCTTTAAGATATTTCTGCTTACTTTGCTTTAGAAGTGTTACTTGAAGTGATATAATGAAGCAGAATTGTGTGTTTCTGCATGCAGTACATAGCAAACATCCGGGAATGGGAACCATTATCATGGCCACTAAGTATAATTCTGTTTTCTAGCAGTCCTAGAAATGTCTTTGCATACTCTAAGTGGTGTGGACAATACAAATCTAAACAAATCTATATGAAGCTGGGCTATAATACTGAGTAATTGTGTTTTAGTTTTGCGCAGCACTGTAGAAAAGTGTGAGGTGTGACTCAAGAGGCTTTGAACTTTTTTGGAAATTTTATCCATATTTTACTATTTTCTGTTTTCTTTCTACAGAATATTCTGGCTTTAAATCCCCGAAAACAGGTGCATGCAACTCTACATTCAACTGCAGCGAAGAAACAAGTCAAGAAGCAATGGAAAAGAAATTCTGACAAAAGCTGTTCAGTAAGTGCATGTTTATTAGTGCATCTGGAACATGCAATAATTTTTTGAGGCTGAAACCTCAGTTGTGTGAGAAATTAAAATTTTGAGTTTTCAGTGTTGTTCGGTAGCCACATTTGACTCCTAGTTCTGTTCCTGTAGATACAAAGTTACTTTGTGATCAGCTATTTACTTTTCAGAACCAAGTACATACCATACCTTTTTCCTTTTTGGGGATTTTGTAAGTGTTTGATGCAACTTTTTCGCCTTTTGTTGTGGAGTCTGATCAGTTTCAAGTATCAAGCAGTATCACAGCTGGCTCTCCACCTCCCGAGCCTCGCAGAGCCACTCGCTCGCCCTGGGTAGCCAGTGTCAGGTGCCTCCTCTGTACCCCGCAGGGCTACTGCACACTTGCTCCTTTTCTTTCTGTTTTCCAAGAGTAACACTGGGTAAAGCAGGACTTCACCATCCTTTCTGAGACTTTTAAAGATAATTTTATTTCAGTACAGAAATAGGGAAACCCATCATATGCACCTATTTTATATACATATGTATGTGTATATATATAGAGATACCTATATATGTACTATATATACATGACCATATGTGTAATGTTATATATAAACATGGAAAACGTAAATTGAAACATGGCTCTGGATTTTAAACTTTGTGCATTGTATTTTTTTAGGAAATAGGTGGTTTTAGAAGAAATATTTTTTTCATTGAACTGTCTGTATTCTTCAGTATTTCTGCCATTAGATATCATCATTTTCTCTCTAGGTATTTAGATTCCTAGTCTCAGTGTGATATTTCACTAATCCTATCAGACTTTGTTGTCTCTTTGATCTCTCATCTGATTAGAAGGTTTGTAGTGCTTCTACTGTCTTCCTACAGATTCTCCTAGATAATCCTCTAAATTCAGACGTCTTTTAGGTAGAGTACTACTTTATCTGCCAACTATTTCCCTTATGGATACAATGTTATGGTGTCTTTTCATAGTGTTATCAAAGCATCTTGTCCCACTAAATAGGAAAATTCAGGTTTGATGGTTGATACTCACTTATTAAAAAAAACACAAACAAAACAATAAACCACAAACCAAAACAAAAAATGTTCCTCAGGTTCTCAAATCCAGTATGACCAACAAATATTTCCTGGGAGGAGCAACCCAGGGTATCCTTAGCATTTCAACCATACCCTAGTATAGTTTCCTGTTTTACAGCATTGATTATAAGAATCTCACTCTTACTGTAGCTAATATTCTCATTTTCTTTATATATTGTCTTAGATAATGTTGTAGTAACTGGAAACTAATGTACACAAAAAGCTTCTGTTTGTGAACAGGGATGATTATTTTGGGATGTCTGATGCAGTTATTGCCCACAACTGTCTGTTCCTGCTGCACAGATAGTTGAGCTGCTCAGCATGCAGCTCCTGGGCAGCTGCAGTTTACATCATTACGTTTTCACATGACCTGTAATCAATACTGGGCCGTAAACTCCTCCGTTTCAGAAACTTTGTTAGGAAGCTCAGGTAGCCATGCAGCAGGGCAGCTAAGTATCTGTGTAGTAACTTGATTGGCTGTTCCAGTGTAAATTATCCTGGTTAAACTTGAAACTATAGCATACACATATCTATTTTCCTAATGGGTGTGTTAAGACATATTTTTTAAACTTCTAGGCTTTAAGATCACTGTTGTTTATCTCTGACCTTTCCCCCATGTCAGCCTTGTTTGATTTTGGTATTCAGTTTATCCATAAAATGTTTGATATTTGAGGGTTTTGTTGTTAGTTATGAAAGTGCATAGCTTTCTAGAAATTGTCTCTCTTCCCGTGTTCCTGCTCTTAGCTGTGCATGCGTACCTCGTGGTGCCTCAGATGTTCCTGGATCCCCAAGGCCCGAGCTTGGGCTGTGCAAACAACACCGATTTTGTTTCATCGCTAGCTGGCGTGCCTTGGGTGGATTTTCATTTGAAGGAAATTCTGAATGTTGTCAAATATTTCAGGAGGATGTTTTGGCATAGGTTTTCAATCTAATAAACAACTTGGTTTTGTAGTTCTGCATTACTGCATGGAGATCTGTGCAGTCGTTAGGACCCTGCACCGGCAGAGATCTGCTCATGGGTTGCAACTTACAGGGCTAGAGGTTAGAGATAAGCAAATAGGTGTATCTGTACCTGTACACACCTTCATCACAGATAGTTCTTATACTCTATATTATGAATTATTTGGTAGAAACAACACATCATTTAGTTTGCAAGTCATGATAAGAAATCTAAAATACTTGAAGAAACTGTAAAGGGATGGTTCTTATTTATAGGCCGGTAATGGTCCTAGTTTTCAGCACTGTCAAACTTCTTCTTGCTCAGAAATACGTAGTTTACTTTTACTGTTCAAGACTTACCACACAGACTACTCTTCTGTCAGAAAAAGCCCTACAAAACTAAATACAAATCAAGCCTAAACATTTGTCTGGTATCCTGTTACATAAAAGACATTAGGATAAAAGAAGAGACTTTTTACATTCTCTAGATCATTGTTGTTGAGCGGTTTTAATAAACAGAAAACAAAACCATAGAATCTTTTCCTAGCCTTCGAAAAATAAGAAAGCCAATGTAGGAAAGGATACATTGAGAGCAATTTTCTGTTACATTCTGAAAAGCCATTGGCAGTAACATTTAGGCCTGCTAATGAACAGGTCAAGCTGTATTTGAAGTCCATAGGCAATGTACTTGTTTGCATTTCCTTAAAATCTGAATTTGGCTTCTAGCTTTGGATTCTTTTAAAGGTGTACTGATGCTGCTTTTGCAGACTTACTGTTGGAGCGAAGGTGGGAGTATAAAAATACAAAACTAATTAAATTAACAGCCCTCAAAACTCTGAACAAAACCTGCATCTGCTGAGGCTTGCACACAATGTCTAATACAGTTCCAGATGGCAGACTTATATATTTCCTCAGAATAATTACATAAGCGATATTTTAACTCCTAGGCTGCTATGAGATGCTTTGGGTTGCACATTGAACAATTTCTGAAGTGGAAACTGAGTGTCAATATCTTTCCTCAACACTGGAAATGCGTTCGCCTAGGGAAAGGTTCATTTATGCTTTCAATGAGTGATATTGATTATTTACTGTGTTAGCAACCAAATTTTGCTGTGAAAATGATTTATAGCTGTAGGTGCAAGATCAGTCAGCTTTCCTTCAGAAATTTTAACTCGGAGATTTAGATCAGAGTAGGTAAACTCTTTATTGCCGAGTCACCCTCGGTGGCAGTGCTAAATCAAAGCATTAACGCTCTGGTTTCTTCTGAGTCATGCTAAAAGGTGGTCTAAGCAGATGCCACCAGTCTGTCTGGGGAAACAAAGTTTTCTGTTGGTCAGAAGAAATTAAAAGTAGAAGAGTATTCAGGTGGCTATACTAATAATAAATCTTGGAGAAGGAATCAAAATTTAGATTGCATTAGGTCATCAATTTACAGATAAAACTAAAGCAAAGAAATGGACTGTGGATGCTCTGAGGACTTGCTTTGATTTCAGGGTTTTGCTAGTTAGTTCAGGATTATTTAGACATCTGATTTATGTTTTTATTTATACTTTCCAACTGTCTATAATTCTATTTCTGTATGTATTTTATTCTTGCTGACATTTCAATCATAAACTAGACGGTGTGTGTTTTGTGCATTTGCGTTCCACTGAGCACACTGAATTCCATTCCTTACTTTATGAATAGGGTTTCTAAGCATGAGACAAGTTCTGCTTTTACCTTGTACACGTGTGGGTTTGTTATTTTAATGAAATTCACCTCTGCAGTTTTTATAAATTCACGTGTCACTGGAGATTTCAGTGGGACGTTGTAGTCCAGCATTTTTTTTGTAATGAAACCTTGGAGGTACCTACTAAGGATGGGTGAGAAGATGCTATAAACCCACCTATGTATTCAGACTTCAGTTTCTGCATTTAGAAATGATAGTAATAATTGTTCCAGATGGAGGACTTGGAAGTATTTCAGCGAGACAAGAAAAGTGAAAAGGAAATGGAGTTTAGGTTGGTTTGTAGTTAATTGCTATAGCCTGTAACAGTATTGATTTTCTGGCAGTAGTAGCGTTGTTCTTTGTCCTTATGTTTGCTAACCCTGATCAGCGTTGTGCAACAAGAGCTTCTCTTCCTTGAACAAAACATTTTTTAAGCTCAGCTGTTTTTTGCACGGGCATCACTTCTGGGCAAGAGTCTTTAACTGTTCTATAGTTCTTTCTAGCCATTACAGAGAACCAAATTCTTCACCTTGTCTTTTTCTGTGCAACATGAAGTTGCAACTACCAGACTGCTCTGTGCTAATGGCGGAGAATGAGATCTGCAGTTCATTGCAGGATGAACAGATCGCGTTGCTCTTTAAACTCGAAGGACAAGGTTGCCGTATTAAAACAGTAGTAATAAAGAATTTGCTAAAACTTCAAACTGCTTTTCACTTTAATAGTATTTCTGTGGCTGTCACTGCTATATATGAACATCTGTAAAAAGGAATTATTTAAAAAAAAAAGTTTTCTAAGGACCTCTTAGTGTACAAATGTCCAAGCTTGCATAGAAAAACCCATAAATAAGATATTTCTTTCTCAGCTATAATCAGTTTGTTACTCTAAGTATTGCCTTCCAGTGAGATGGAAAAATGCCACGTGATTTTTGTGCCCAATTATGTATAACAGAATAATTAAGTTAGTAGTTCACAAAGAACTGATGGGTTGAAGCAGAAATAGTGCAAATTGCAAACATGTAGATATGAAACCCAGTTCACCCAAGGCCTGAAATCAGGCCTTTTTCAGTGAATAATCTGGCCATCTCTAGATATGTATTGATGAAAGATTATATATTTATAAATAAAAAATAATCCCAAATATTGCAAAACAGAGAACACTGATTAAAGGAAATCAACTCAATTATCTTTATAATCTAAATGTATAGTTTACCTTTGCAAATATTTATTTTTGTCTTCATTGCATATGAATATGCAAGTTTAGCTCTTTACTGAAT